GATTAGTTTTTTTAAAAATTAATGTAATTCACTAATATATGTCTTTTTTTGTAAAACAGCATATCGATGCGTGGGTGTCACGTCTTCTAATAATAAGGAAGCTTAGGAAAAATAAAAAAAAATTCGCGATATACAATAATGCCGGCGGCTTTTCACGCAGTTCACTTGAAGAATCAACGAGATGAATCATTTTCGTTGGGCAATGGACAAGCTAAACTTTATCCTGCATGATGGGAGGTCGATAAGGTTAGTGTTTATTTTTTAAATTTTTTAAAGGTGTTTATAAATAAGTGCGCAAATAAATGAATTATTACTTATGATTGCAGGTGTTTATCCCTGTTTTAGAACGTCGTCATTGGCTTCTCGTCCAACTTCAGCTCCCATCCCTGAAGATAATAGTATATGACAGCATGATAAATTACATATCACTGTCTGATTTGAGAGATATTATCAAGGGATGGAGCTCTCATTTGGCTAAATTCTTGGATGGGATTAATTATTGGACTCATTCTGGACACAAGAAGCCAAAGAAGTTCAATGTCACAGTTGTCAGAGACGAGACCGCGCCACAACAATTACCGGGAGCCAGAGGGGATTGTGGTCCTCTCGTATGCATGTGCTTGGCGCGTTTGACGACGGGAAGCATAGAGTTTCTACCTCCCACCGATAGAGATAGAGCTGCAGTAGGCTTGTGGTTTCGGCATTATATGGCTAGAGCGATATATTCGAGACGCTGCCTACCTGCATCCGCGTTATAAAAGTATCTATTGTTAATTGGTAAGTCAAATGCAAGTTTTGTTAACATATATACTCCTTTTGGTTTGAAAATGTTTGGTTAAGTACCTAGAATTCAATAATTTGCTGTTTGTAGGTTTTAGATGTGTAGGAAGTCTTGTTTGAGCAAATGTTTGGTTTCTGCAGGTTAATCCTTAAGTGAGCTGCGTGAAATGGATGTACGGGTGCAAAAGTTGATTCATTGATTCAATAATTGATGAGGAAATAAGAATTATTATTATTTTTTGATTGTTTAATTGATTTGTAAAAAATGATTTGTAAATGTTGATTTGTTTAATTGATGTGTACATAATTCTTATTTGTGCTTGTTTAATTGATTGAAATGTAATAGTTGATTTGTTGATTTTCAATCTGCATTATGTTGAAGGCAAAACAGACTAGCGCAACACGAAACTGACTATCGCAACGAGAGAATCGCAATGCGAAATGAAAATCGCAATGCAAAATAAAAATCGCAACGAGAAAATCGCAATGCGATTTTCATTTCGCATTGCGATTTTCTCGTTGCGATAGTCATTTTCGCGTTGCGATAGTCATTTTCGCGTTGCGATAGTCAAATGAATGTCTAATAAGTGATAACAATTGAACAGATCATAGCAATGTTCAAACTCAAGTTACTAATACATGTCTAACTGAAAATGTTAAAAGTGCACACATAAAATACACATAATACAACGTTTGCATTTAAAAATCACCTAAGTTAACAGTCTCAAAAGGTGAAGCCGCGAAATTGAAAAATCACATTGCGATAGTCATAATCGCGTTGCGAATCTGGAAACTGATTTGTGATAATGGAGATCGCGGTGCGAATTAACGATCGCATTACGATTTTATTGATTATTTTAGCAAATCCAAAAAAAATTGGTTAAAATCATATATTATATGAGATTTTTGGTCACTAAATTATTTTCTCTATTTCTTTTACCATTTAGTTCATTTAATAGTTTCGAGGGTAAGAACTAAATAAGAGTATGTACTCGATCTGTATTTTCAAATTCAATCTATGGCGAATAACCAACTCTCTACATCAATCAATCTTCATTTTCTTTCTCCCATAAATGCCAAGAATTTACCACAAGAATTATCTAAAATCAAAGGAAATTTGAGTCATGAACAAACCTTGCTTGACCCCAAGATCCGAAGCGGTAAAAGAAGGCGGATCATCAGCAGCATCACCGGCATGTTTGAACTCCTGCAATTCCTTGAAGTTCATCCACGTCTTAACCCACACTTTGGCCTCATAAAGCTTCTTTTTGCCGTTATCAATGGCTTCCACCGTCAAATGGTGAAGCGTCCCGGCCACCACTTGGTCGGCCGCTTTCACAACCCTCACAAACTCAACCACACCGTTCTATTTCTTGTTGTGCTCGTCGACGGCGAAGCGACCGAGGTTTTCGACCTCCGCGCTGTTCTGAGAACAGCCGGCCGGGAATGGTGGCCATGGGCTCAATACTGGGGGTTGACTCCACAGAGATGTTGAAGAAGAGAATCGAGATTGCTATGGAGAATAAAATGGTGATTACGGAATTGGGTTTTCGCATTTGGGTTTATATAGAAAAATTTTCGAATGAATTTGAAGAATTCACGTTATTCTGAATTAGAATTTGACACTTTAGCCTGAGCTAAGCAAAGAACCAAACGCTTTTACTTAATATGTAAGCAATTCAAGGCTTATACACTAAGAAAAAAAACTGAATAAATAATGTAAAATCTCGAAAATTAAATATCAATAACTAAAATTCCAACTTCTCTAAAACAAATTGTTTGATAAGCATAGTCGGTAGTTGATTTAACTGTTTCTACCAAATCCATACTTCTGAAAAAGTTTTTTAAGTAATTGATTGCATAACTTAAATATAAAATTAAATATTTAAACATGAAATAATTCGTCTTGGTTTTTAAAAAAATAGGGTCAATGAAACCCATGACACTTGATTATGGACATGTTTTAGTTTGACCATCTTTCAATTTTATTATTCAGAACACTTAACTATTTAAGTGTTGTTAAAATCACCAACCGTTAACACTTAACAGATGAGTTGGCGTGGATGTTAAAAAAACTAATATAATTACATATTTAGTCCTTATTATTGTAAAATTTTGTAATTCATTACTAAAAAGAGAGTTTAAACCGATGGTTGATGTGTGTGCAAAGCTATCCCTAAATCTAGGTTTAATCCTCTTTTCTGTCTAATTTAAGTGGTGAACTGTGTTATAATCTAATTAGAGATTAAATTTATTAAATTAAATTAAAATTATGGCAAGATTGATAGAATGTGTAAGTAATAAGAATTAGATGTGTAATTATATTAATTTTTCATAAAAATATTAATGATTGGTGGCTTGATTAACAGAATTGAATTATAGATGGTTAAAATAAAATTTGTCCATAGTGAACTGGTCATGAGTGTAGTTTACCCTAAAAAATATAGAGTAAACTATTTATTTGAATACAACACAAAACTCCATTACAGGGGGAAAAACAAAGAGAAAATGATAAAACTTTAACAGCTGGAGAAAAACAGTAGAATATTTTCACTGCAAATAGCATCTCGAAGTGCTCCAAGAAAACAAATACTAAACAGCTTGTAATCAAATTTTGCACCTTTGAGATACTCGTAAACAGTAAAACGAGCTTCTCCGATAATTTCGGAGGAAAAAATGGGCGAGGTCTTCTCTATCAAAAAGCTATTTGACGAAAAACACAACTAAGGTCTAAGGATGGTAGTACGTATGTAAGCGTATGTTATGACTTTCAATTAGTCCTAACGAAGGTTAGTTTGGAACTTGGAAAATCTTGAGAAATCGAATCGATCCAAGACGGTTTCGAGTCTGTCTTTGATCCTGGATCAAGCCTCACCTGTCATATTGATTTAAATTGCAGCAAAAACAAGAATTTCATGAAGGGAAGTAGTTAGGTTACTCGGACTCGGGTGCATGTCTGATATGATGTTACAACTAATATTTTAGTAGGATAGTTCAAGTTAATTAGGGTTTAACCGCTTATATATGTAGGAAACTTGTACTCTTAAATTTTTAAGTCAGTTCTTTGTAAACTTAGCAAGTTTAGTTTATAAAGAAGTATTTTTTTCACTTGTTATCTTTGATATGGTATCGATAGTTTTGTTTTCTTCACCGCTTTCGCGTTTATAAAGAAGTATTTCATTTCTTTTGTTTCTTTGCTTTCTTGATCTTCATCATAGGTGATTTTAATTAGTTTGATAATAGTGAAAATCCTTACTATCTTCATCAGTCTGATCATCTAGGAATGGTTTCGGTTACTCAACCATCAGCCAATGATAATTACAATAGCTTGAAACGCCCCATGCTAATAGCGTTGTCTGCTAATGGTATTCACAAAATGTTAGATGATAGTCAAAGAGAGGAAACAATGCAATTTTTAATGGGGCTTCATGAGCCGTATGCCCATATTCATGCTCAGATTTTGTTGATGGATCTATTATCATCCATTGCTAAGGTTTTTATTTTTATTTTTTTATTTTAGATTTTACAAGAAGAAAATCAAAGATCGATTTCCTTATCTACTCCTGTTCTTGAAGTTGTTTTTGCTGTTAAAGCTTTCTACCTTGCAAGAAAGTCACGACCACATTGTACTCATTGTCATTTGTCGAGGCATACAAGCATGGTATCCTCCAAGTTATGGTACTCGCTCTAAGAATTCTCATGTTGCGCATACTAATGTCGTTTTTTAATCTTCTTCAGGATATGCTTGTACTAATAATTAATACTGGTAACACCAATGGCACTGAAAATATTAATGGTGCTGCAACTGATTCTTTAATCACACAACAATGTCAACAACTTATCACCATGCTAACCACACAATTGCAAACTGCCCCAAGTTCTGATGTACCTTCTACATATATAAATCTTTCTATGTAAGAAAATATTTTATCTTACATAAATAGCTTAGCTTTTTCTAGTAATTATAACTATTAGATGATTGATTCAGGAGCTTTTGTGCATATTTGTTGTTCTAAAAGTTATTTTTGAAACCTTAATTCCTACTAAAAATAATTCCATTATACTTCCTAATCAGATAATAGTTTCTATTACTCTTGTTGGCACCATTATACTTCCTAATCAGATAATAGTTTCCATGACTCTTGTTGGCACAGTTCGTTTATATAACACCCTAATCCGATCTGACCCGAAGTCCGGAGGTTTCGAATGTCACATTGAACCACTGAAGTGGCTAACCATTCTTTTAAAATCAATAACCATAGCCATCATTTAAAATCAATAGTTCAAATACAATAATAAAATTCTTTTTATAAAATCGGAGCTCCATGACACATAATCTAAATAAAATAATACAACTCAAGTTTACAATCCCAAATACATAAGTAAGGGTCCTATGAATACACATGTCAATTACATGTAACTAAACAGTACTCTGTGAAGAATACTGGAAGAACAATACTCTGTGAGGAATGCTGGAAGTCATGCTGTGAAGGCGCTCTTCGAACAACTCGATTTACTAACCTGTGAACGGAAACATCCGAACGTTAAGCTTATAAAGACTAGTAGTATAACTGATGATCTAGAACAACATATAAATCGCATAAACATAAGAATGCCAGAAAACATGGTAATAAGCAATAGGTACAAGCATGATCCTAATCAAGGGCTACCTACTAAAGGCTTGACAGTTTTACCTCTTTAGTATATGTCCCATGTTTCCCTTAGTCTCTACTAAGGGCCTCGTCATGAGTAAACACATACTAGGTCTCTAACCTCACTATCATCCTACTATACATCATCATGCAACACAATGATAGTACCCAATATCACAAAGACTCTAGGTACAACCACATAACAACAAGTAACATCATTGTGTAGCTCGAGGTCACATAGCATCACAAAACTCACACCCTTATTTTTTAATAGAGGTACCTTGGGCAAGACCTGGGTCACACATCATCAACATGTCCCAAGTACTTTAGGCGAGGTTTGGGTCACACAACATCGCCACCTCCAAAATAACTTAGGTTAGGTCCATGCCACACAGCATCACCACTTTGTCTGGCTAGTCTATTCCTCAGAGTACTTGGGATGTCTCTGGGTCACATAGCATCAGAGCCTACATCTAACTAGCATTTAAAGTGCCCCACACTGATTTGGATATATCTAGATATTTCTTAGATAATTGGATGATCGTCACACACACAAGTAACTCGGGTGTCCTCATTGTTTCCCGAGTGGCAAACAAAGGCCCAAGTCTTATGAAATCTTACCTCATAAATTTCTTATAGTTATCACACATATACTATTATTTTAATGATGTTATTTTATCATTATTATCAGTTATAACACCAGTAGGGGAGATGACTCCCTCACATACTACTATTTTGTGTGTTCTCTCTCTTAGAATGTTATGTAAGATCTTAATAGTATTTTAGTGTTTTATGCCCTTAAGGTGATTCATATTCATTGTTACCTTCTTAGTATATTACAACTAGCCCAACACTCTATTCGAGGATTAGTCCATTGACAAAGACCCCCTAGTCGCTCTAGTCACATTTCTCATTGGTTTGCCCTTGAACTGGTATGGCAACTCTTACATCTTTGATTATGGATGTTCACGTAGTACTCCTTCCATCTATCATGCTAGTTAAATTGTTCATCATCTCACTCACTGACACATCTCTCGAAACGATCCTTCATTAACAGTTACTCAATACGTGTTCAATTGAAGATACTTGGAAGTATTTCATCTAGTATGTTACATCAGTTGTAACCCACTCCTATGAGTGTTTTTTGGGCCCCTTTATGTTCAATTGAAGATACTTGGAAGTATTTCATCTATTATGGTTACTTCAGTTGTAACCCACTCCTATGAGTGTTTCCTGGGCCTCTTTGGCCATTTATATCCTTCACGGACTAAGTTCCACCATTACGGATCATCCTTAACTCTTATGGGACTTAACGAGATCAATTCTAGCAATCCAAAAAGGCTAGTATTGATACTCTACTTGCAGTATCTATACCATGGGATCAAGTATTGATACTCCTATAAATATCGGTACCAAAAATGGCTACTGGATTGCAAACTTTACCCTAAGTATCGATATTGTTTTCCTCAATATCGATACTAGGGCTACAATATTGATACCCCCTTAGGGATCGATACTCCCACTATAAAAGGCCCAAAAATCGACCCAGTTCAACCAATATCGATATTGTTCATCCAATATTGATACCTTAACCAAAAATCCTCCCAAACACTCTAATTTGGTCATAAATCAACTTCTAAAGCTTAAGGGGTTTATTTAGGATAAACACAAGCTTGATACTAAAACCATCATCTAAAACAAGAATCAAGTAAAATACCTAAATATGCTCAAATCCTCAAGAAGACATCATGTTTAAGAGTTTCATGACACAACAAAGGATTAGAAATACACTACCTTAGCTTAGTAATCTGAAATGAAGCTCATTTCTTCATCTACACATGTTTTCTTCTCTTTATTTTCTTTTGAGCAATCTATACACATTGTCTCTATCCAACAAGAAAATCAAGGCTCTAAATCCTTAAACGATGTTACTAGAAGACTTAAATACTGATTTAAAGCTAGATGAAACATGGAAGAAGTCATTATCATCATCATCTTTGATCCATGAAGCTTGAAGAAGAAGATGGAGAAGAAGGAAATGAAAAGAAAAAAATGAATGAGGATATAAAACCCTCATCTTTTCTCAAATGAGATAATCACACTTTTGGTCTTTCGCATTTTGTCTTATAATTAAAAATCCCCTTTTTATGGTTAACTAGGCCTAATTATAACCCAATTAAGGCCAACTTGGTTTAACAACTTTGATTATGAATTTTAGAAGGTCCACTTATCTTTCGGGTAAAAACTAGCCCATAATTCGGGGTGTTACAACTCTCATTTCCTTGAAAGAAATTACGTCCTTAAATTTTACTTGGATAAACTAACACTTACTCTTTAGTCAAACACTTAGAAGCCTCAAACACCTAGACTCTTATCAGACTTTATCCTTTGGGAAAAAATCCCTGCAACTCGACATGTTACTTGGAATTTGCAAAATTGATCTATGATTTTCTAAGGACGCTACCTACTTCAAACCTTAAGCAGCAATCTTTGAGAAGCGTAAAACCATCGAGTCTTACTCTTTTTGTCCTAACACTGAATCCCTAGAACGTTTTACAACGAATAACGCTGCCCCAAAACTCAACTGCTACCGCTAACCCCTTTCCTGGATAAACTTACTCAATCAAGTTAACTTAATGCATAACCTTATAGCCTCTTTTACTTGTTGAACATAGGTAACTCGACATGTTATACGTTGAGATCCTAAGAACACTCACCATACATGACCTCGATGTCGTCCACTGAAGATATGATGACAATTTATGACTTTCTAGCGTCGATCTCTATGTTTCTACTGCGTAACTTTGATTCGATACTCATTCACTCTACTTGCATGTTTCTCACTTGCCTTGTTGTTCACATACATTTTACTGGATACATCTAAGGTGCTCACAACTGAAAATCGACCACTTGCCTAGTGAAACTAGCAACATATGACTTTCCTGGAGAGTACGCCTTGCAAAGAGGAGATCTCTTGCAACCATACCATGATCTAAGGATTTTGAAGTTGTACGTCTTGCACTCACTATCGCTTACCACCACTGAGCTATTCAATGACGACTAACGCTAGTCAAATGAAGCTTAACATACTTGATCTCCTTTAGTATGAAACACTAAGATCCATGATACTATACGATGTTATATATTGCTACATGTTATGCATAGTTCGCACTCATATACCAACGCGAAGACATCACTGACGAGGCGTGACTCACTTAGCTAATTCACTTACTATTCATGTAAGAAGACATCATGGTGACATCCGAGGTTCACTGCACCTCGAGACTCACAACTCACTATAGCATTTATAATACACTTAGTACATAGGATGAAATTTCGGGACCACTACATAGGAACATACACCCTCCTAACTTAATCATCGCGAGTACTTGGGGCATCTACGCCCAGTTAGCAACTGAAGTGCCTTGGCACTAGCTGGACATATCTTGATATTTCTAGCAACAAGGTGATTGCTACACTGACAAAATTAACCTGGGTATTCTTAACACTCTCATGGAGGTCTCTACCTCTAAGAGTAAACCTGAGAATACTAAATATCTGCTAGTCGATCACATAAATCCTCTATTGATGACGTGAAGACGTCTTTGCAGTCTCATAACTAACGGGACCACACGCAAGGATACTCCCTTAGGAAACACGTAAGGGTGGTATGTCACAATGGTTCTTCTGGTGGTCATGGATTCTCGTCTCGACTTGGATTTAATGTGATGGAGTCCTCACCGATCGTTTTCTAATTAGGTAGATCAAACACCTAAGTTTTACCTATGTAGCAGATATGCATCTTACAAGAGAATTGTCGGATTCGTGATTCGATTGCAATCGAAGAAGGATGAGTACCCTCGAATTGCCCTTTCAGTATCACACGATTACCTGGTTGTCTTAATTGTGAAAATTGAAGTTTAGATGCAAATTTAAATGTTCGATCTGAATTACTTACCTTTGATGAATTTTTGATATTTTAAAAGTGTTCCTCAAAAAATAAAATTAATGTTAAATAACTAAAAAATACTACATAACAAAAAATGGGTTAGGGTACCAATTTATAAAAAATATAACTCATTTATAAATCATTTGGTATTAACAGAACAAAGAAATAAATGTACAAAAATAAAGAATACACATAATAAAAATGAACACAAATACATAAAATTAAGATTTCAAAAGAGATAAATAAATAAAAACTCATATAATAATAAAAAAGAATTAAAAGTAAACAAAAATGTTGAAGAAGATTAGACCTGATTTAGTAGAAAAAATTATCTAAAAATAAAAAGACATAAGGAAAAAAAGAATATGTCATAAATTAAGGGGAGGAATCAAATTAGAAGGAAAAAGATAATGGAAATAAATGAGAGAAATTTAAGTGAATTAAAAAAAATAAAAATGAAAAATGAAAGTTAGAAAAACAGATAGTAGAATAATAATAAATTTGAAAGGAAATTAAAAATAACGAAAAAGTTAAAATAAAAAAATTAAAGTTAAAGTTAATTTAAAATAAATTAAAAATAGATTATGAGAAGATGATCAAAATGAGATTTTAAAAAGAGACGAAGGTTGTAATTATCTCCTATCCATGTGAAATTATACATATCTTATAAGAATATGAATCAAGTCCTCGGATCATTTAATTGAATATAAAAATCAAAATGGGATCAACATTAATAGGTAAAATAAAGGGAAAATAAATTTATTCAAGATCCCCCATCGATTTTCATCGAAAAACTTCAAGGATTGCTAAATCTATAAAGATTTATTTCAAGGCCTTTGTTCATTGTTTCTTGTTCTTCGGTTTTCTATCGTTCAACGAATATTTTTAGAAAAATCAAGTTCGTGATTGACCGTAAAAATAAAAAGAAAAATATTATTGATTTTCACCGAAAACCTCAAGAAATGTGAAATCTATGAAGATAACATTTTTCCTTGTTCCTCGATTTTCTCTTCACCAATAAATTTTTTTAAGAAAGTAAAAACAAAGAAAAGAAAGAAAAAAACTGAAATTTGAACAAAGTAAACAAACACACACAAAATGAATTACCTTTAGTCAAATGTTTTCTCTTATTGTCTGTCTACCAAGTTACAATCTCTCTAATAAAAGTCCTCCCCTCGTTACAAAATAAGTGTGCCTGTCTATAGGAAATCAAAAAATCTTAAATATACTAATTAAAAAAAACAATATTAACATAATGAAAATATCTTAAATTTCCCTAAATAAATAATGAAAATTATAAAAGTGAATTTATTCACAAAAAATAAATAAAATAATTGAAAAATCGGAATAAATTAAAATTCACGTATTGGGCTCGTATCTAATTTTTTGCACGTACTGTCTTCGCTAAAATAAGCATATCTTGAGTTTCCAACGTCCGATTGAGGCGTTTCAAAATGTGATGGAAAGATAACTGAAAGTATATCATATCTTAAGAAGACATTATACCCTAGAAACATTTGTATCTTACTTGAAAATTTGTTGCAAGTCGATTGATGTCTTGGGCTTCAAAATCAGATTCAATAAAATGTTTGGGCTTTGGGAAGGAAAACTAGGCCGGACAGTAATCGAGTATTACATGGTAGATTCGGCGACTACACATTTCTTAGAGTTGACCTTCAACTCAACAAGGAACAACCACTCATACTCATAAGGTCCTCACACGTCTCTGAACTTGCACCTCCAAAATCAAAGTAACACTTGTGCTAACAACTTCCCTTAGGTCGATTACTAAGCCTAACCTAAGTCTCCGAATAATATCTAAGGTCACACTAGTCTATTCTACAGGTGTTAACGTTTTCATTGTAAGGTCCTTGTGTAGTCTTAAGTTGTTAATTTCTTGTGTTGATGATTATAGAATTATATCCTTATGTATTTAGTTACGATTATGGTTATAATTTTTATTATTATCTGAATTTTTTTTGGGTGAATAAAGAGCTTAAACTAAGCTAAGGGGCCATCATCTTACTAATCCTAAACTATCTTCATGGAGCATCGAGCTAATAGTAGTCGAAGTCTTTGAGAGGATATGTCATTTGTCATGTTATCGGCCAATCTGTTTACTCCGCGTCATACCTGTGACATTGTTACTCTCCATTTCCTCTTCATTAACCCTTGTATGTGCTGAAGTATGATCGGCGATGTCCCTCCTTGTGTGTTTCGAGTCAGCAAACAATATGCTTCCCCGCTATCTACCTCAAGGATTGCCTTTCTTTCTCCTATGATCGGTGCATGCGATAAGCCCTTTAGTGCCCCCAATGTTTTACTTCGATTACAGTACGAATTCCCATTGTTCAAGAGAAACCTAGCATCCATTCTCCGTTGCTATTTTTGATTACTTCCGCACATGAAGCATAATCGTTCGCTAAATCCTTTGTCCCGTCCATGTTGACTTTAACCCATTCGATCGGTGGAGCCTCCCAACGTGATGCTTGTTGTTGGACATCAGGCCTGCTTGTTATTATGGTCGATTCCTTAGCCCGGGTACTTTGGGTTTGTAGTCTTTTCCCTTGCTCATAGACTGTTGTCCGTTTCATCTTCTTTGGATCAAACACACGTAGATTTCTATGTTTCTATAAACGCTCATAATAACGAATATCTCTTATTTTTAATAAAAGTAACGATTTCTAAAAAAGAATATTCAACTAGAGTTTAAAATTTTAGATTGGTTCTTCATATTGATAGGTGTTCACAAGTACCTTATATAATTCGTGCTTGAGTCGTAATAAAGTCTATAATCAATATGTAATTATTGTTATATTTATTTTTATGTCAGTGTAATAGTGTTGGCGATACTTATCATTTACCGTAAATAATAGTATTTGTTTGAATCTATTATATTTTCGAGTTTTTTTTTCCTTTTATGTATGATGTTACTTTCATTATTCGGAGATTAATTTGTAATCTTTAATGATTTCATGGAGAATAATTTACTAATGTGATCAGTATACTTTAATTCTTATAAATATCTCATTTCTAAAAATATAATTTTATTTATTTTCTCTTTATTTATTCAATGAAACTAATCAATGTTATTAATTGAAAATGTTTATGTAGATTATTTTTTTATTTAATTGTAAATTATTTTCTTTATGTAACGTGATTATATCATATTTATCCCTAAATCTATATGTTAGGAAATATGTCTTTAATAATTCATATATCATATTTATTTAGAGACGGGCTTAGGTGGGAACGGTCGTCACTCTTAAAAATTTAAAATTATCATATATTTTAAATTTTTATGTATTTTTTATTAAACATATATTTTTGCCTCCTAAAATTTTATAAATTCAAATTCATCCCTATAAAATTTTATAAATTCAAATTCATCCCTATAAAATTTTATAAATTCAAGTCACCTCTTAAAATAAAATCTTGAAGTCGTACACGTGTTTCATGCTTGAATTTCTAAACTATGTACAAGTTAATTAGTTTAGGTTAGGTAGTTAAACAACTTCTGTTATTTTTTTCTTCTCAAAACATATTGTTGTTCACCTAGATTGTTATATTGGTTTAAATAATCAGTTCAATTATTAAATAATCTAATCAAATTAACATTAATTAAATTATCTGAATTCCTAAAAATATTTAATTGTTAATAAATCATTTTTTATAAAAGATAATTAACCTCTAGATTGAGATGGGTCGAGAGTGTGTGGATGAAAACGTCCCCCTCCTCCCTTTTAAAAATTTTATATTTTTATATATTTTAGATACTTTTATATTCTTTATTAAAAATATATTTTCCCCTAAAATCTTACAAATTTGTCTACTCTTTAAAAGACTTATAAATTCACATCTCTAACATAAACTTTTATTTCATCCCTATTTATGTAGTATGATAAATTCTAAAAATATTACAAAAATTTTGATTCAATAAACCTAATAACTATTGTCAGTTTTTGACTTCATGTTACTTTGTTTATAATTGACATAATTTTTTAAAAAATAAAATTTAAAAGGACAAAATATTAAAAATTAAAATATTTTTAATAAATTCAAAGATAAAAAAAATCATTAAACCTTAATTAATTATCTTAATTACTACAAAAATCAATCATCTACCATGAACGGCTAAAGGCACCAACACTGACAAACGGGTAGCCGAAGGTGTGGGACCCTGAGAAGGAGCCGGCGAATTCCTACACAAAGGACACGTGGCATTCATCCGCAGCCAGTCATCAATACTATCAACATGGAAACAATGATTGCAATCTGGTATGCACCGTATCTGACCCTTAGCTTCATACTCCGTCAAGCAAATGCAACACGCCCCGTCGTTCGGCCCCGGCAGCCGCCGGCTCTCGCCTAATACGATCTTCAGATACGACTCGATGATCGGACCGTCGAGGCCTAAAACCACCGCAGCAATCTCCATCGATTCCTCGTCGGCAATGCCACGATTCGTACCGTCGCTGTTGCTACCTCGGCGACTTCGATTGTGGTTGCTTCCGCTGGCTTTAACTCTCACGCAAGCGTAGGAAGCGAGCATGATAGTGGAGACCAGTGCAAGAATGCTAACGGCAATGGCTATGCCGTAACCGAGTCCGACGCCGGTTGTTGAAACCGGCGGATCCGCCGTGGACATAAGTAGATGTTACTGGCTACCACCGACTAAATTGTGTGAAGAAAGGGAAAAGAAAGAGAGGGCGAGATCTGGAGATTGTGGTTTTTGAAGTGCGAGCTAAAATGGTGGTGGTTGATGGGGCAAGTGGGCTGAGGCCCGCCATGGTTCGCGGGAAAAAATAATTGGAGTTTGAAATTTATTGGCAATAAAAATAATTTAATATTTCTCTAGAAAGAAAAAAAATCCATTAATAATTAAAAAAAACTACAGCCACAATCACCGAACTATTAATAAGATTGCGCTTTTGACATAAGTTTATGTTTCTACCATTAGACTAATGGTGTTGTGTGGAATTGGAGAATATTTTCTTTGAATCCATCGTTTTATTTTCGGTCACGTCTACTTTCATTAATTATAAAAATTTATTGCTTTTCCACATATTAGAAAAAGTTTACACTTACATTTGAAAGTGTAATTAAACAAAAGGATTTAAAGATCTATTTGTTTTTAGATTCTTTTTGTCTAAGATTATCTATACTTTGCATTTTCTAATGTTCACTTTTTTTAGACTAAAAGTAACCAAACCGAAATTAACCTAAATCTAAAGTAACTCAAATTGATAGTGATCCGGACCGAAAAAAAAATCTAAACTGAAAGTAACTCGGATTTAATTTGCTCATATTTGATCTGAACTAAACTTTGACCTAATTTTGACTCAATAATTGTGTCTAAGTGAATGAATAATTCATTTATTATTATTATTATTATTATTATTATTATTATCTATTTTTAGTTTTGATAAATAGTAAAATAATGTATGTTTTTTTTCTCATTTTATATTATACTACTACTACTAGTTAATCATCACTTTTAATAATAATTTAATGGTTCAATAATCTTTCCTCGGTTAAAAGATCATCTCTATATCTAATTAAATATCTTCTATTTCTGAATTTAAACTGTGATAATATATATTCACAGAAAAAAATTATTTTAAAGATTTATTGATTCGATTGATTACAATTAAAACTTCAACCTCTGAATTTGAGATGTGATAATATATATTCACATAAAATTCTTAAATTATAAGTAATAAAGAACAACATTGAAAGTTATAATGAAAAAAACAACAACAATGGTTGACCCGGATATTTAATAGTTGATCCAAATTAAAACCAAACCAAATTGACCCAAATTACCTCAAGCTTTGAGGTTTAATTCCTCTCAATGTCATTCTTCTTCAATTTATTTTTTCATATATTTAAGAATTAATAGAGTATATAGATCATATAAACCAAATGTGTAATTATACTTATTTTTAATTATCATATCATCCTCTCCGTTAAATATTAATAATTAATTGATGGTTTGGTTGACATTGTTTAAAACCCTTTAATAATTAAGTGATCATTGGTATATTATAACCTAAAATTTAATCTCTTTTTATCTACAAATAATAATCCACTACTTGAATTCTTTGATTTGAAAATTATAATCCAAACTATTAACATTGAAATAACGTCCAAATAATAATAATTTAATATATTTTTCAATAATTTCATTGACTATTTTGATACCTCGTTTAAAAATTAAGGTCAAACTGAAAATACATTCAAATTTAACAGAAATTATTTAACAATACTATCAATTAGACTTTAACTTTGAAATCAAACAAGAGGGACTAAATATCTAAAATTAAAAACTGAGAGACTAAATTTCAAAAGTATATAAAGAGTAGAAGGACTAGAGACATAATTAGACCAAGAATAAATGTTACAAAAATAAATAACTAACAAATTTGTTCTCAATAGTTCAACTTGGACCGAATCTCAAACTCAAACAATTTCTTTTAAGTTTGAGCGCGATTCAAGAATTGTCATTTTGCTATCAAACTAATTATTCATCAAAAAATTGTTGACTAAACAAAACCAATGTTAATGCTAAATGGGATAGCTTTTAACAAATTTATGACCATTTTGGAGACATTAAACTATTAGAATGTAAGATTTCATCCTGAAATCTCAAACTTTCAATCGAGCTAAGGTGTTCGAACATCGATTTTCTAGAGTCTCGAGGTCGGTTCGATAAAAGAAAATGTCCTTTACCGAAAATAAACTTTCCGCAACCTGTGTTCGTCTACGTTTATTCCGCATCCCAGTTCGGAATGTTGGCCGTTGCTTGATTTACCATCTTCACAAGGGTCACCTAGAGACGGTAATTAGAATACATGAAACCGTATCAGAATCAAACTACAAATGCATAAATACATGCAAAAGAAGACGGCTAAAGCGGACTTGGAAAATCGATTCATAAACGAGTTCGTATCAGTTACTAACTAAAATGAACGTATTCGATAAGAAGAATCCCTCGAATACATTCAAGCCGTAACCTAACCCGGACTTTGCTTTGAACTATCTAATTGTTTTTTCTTTGGTTATGAAGCTGAACAAAACTCGAATTTACTACATTTGGACCAGACGGGTCCTCAGCTTAGGTTGGCCAAGTCAAGCTAAAAAAAGAATGTGATATGACTTGCCTCGGCTTTACGAACCCGTCACCGAGAAAACAAAGAACAACTCAAAGCGAACAAAAACCACAATACATGCCGGTACAGGGAGAATCGGACCCTAAAACACTATATCGGTTCTTATGGTCCGTAGCATTTCTTAGCACTGATACTTAAACGTACATACCACACTTTCAGGGACCCCTGGAGGAGGCAAGGGGAGATTCCGTGGTGGTGGTCCTTGTAGAAATGACCTCTTGTCGAATCGCCACTCGCCGATTTTACCATATGTTAACTTGCCCTGAAAGTTAAATGACAAATAAATAAAGTTTAGGCAATGTGGGAACAAGTTAATTCAAACTAAATCAGGTCTGAAGTTGGACTCGGAACTGTTTACCTTCATGTTGAAGTCACATCCATAGGTGTAATGAATTATGAACCTTTTCCCTATCTCCAGATCCCATGGTGGCTGAATTACGAACAAATAATAAAACACCACGAGGAGCATCAATGTAACACTAAACCGAAAAAGGAAAGCTTCATGAAAAGTGAAAACGTTTAGAAAATAAGGTGACATACCTGAAGCATGAAGTCTTTCCGGAGAATGTGTTGCACGCCATGCAACGCCGACGCCACAGCATACGCATACCTTCGGTTTGTCATACATGTCAGTACCGAAAATATGTGTCCAACATGCATTCAGGCAATGGTATGGAGATATATATGCAAAAAAAAAAACCTTGAAAAAGTTTTCGAGGGTGTCGGACACAACCCCATATACGACACTCTAGCTCTAGCGTGAGTCTGAGTAAGATAGCCAATACTTACATTTCTAGCACCCATCCGAAAGCTTTATCAGTCTCTGGATCATCCTTCATTTTTAAAGAAACATTCATCCAAGTAGGAGCAATCTTTTCCAATAGGTCCTGCATAAGAAATTCATACGGTATATATAGTTTTAATCTAACAGGAAGTACGAAGTTGAAAACCTTATCAGAACAGACCTAATAAAGTGTTTCAGTGAAAATCAACAACTATAACTCAGTTAATAGGAAATTTGTACCTTCTTGATAATGACAGGTGAATTGCCAATCGGATCTATATTTGTCACCGATCCCATCTCATCCGGGAAAAACTTCCTTAACAGTTTTTCATTCTCAACCGGCTTTATGTAGAAAAAGGGGAATGCAGCCGGGTATCCTCCTTGCGCCAGATTAGGTAGGGGAGTGACGAAAATGTGGTCAGGCTCCGCCATCAATATATAGCTGCATCAAGGAAAATGGTTAGCATGCTTTACATATCTATATTGCTCCGAATTTTCATTTTTCTCAAAGTACTTATGTCCGACACATTTGGATATGAAGATAGTACCTTCCAAGGAACACCAAATACATTGAGAAACTTCGAAAAAAATTCAGTCACACCCAAATCCAAGTAACATAACTACAAACGGATTAAGTTACTATGAAACTGATAACAAAATCATGATAATGTAAAAGCACTCACTCTTCTTCAATTGTAGCCTTTTCAAGCCACTGCACAAAAGCCCATGGTCGATTTAAGACAATATATCCCTGAGAAGTGAGAGGAGTCTCTTCAGGAAAGGTAAACATGATGCGGATTATAGAATAAAGACAATCAGGGAATTTCTGAAATTACTAAACAAGAAATTTTGCCAAAAACAAACAAGTTCTGCATTCATTTATACAGAATATGAAAACTTCCATGCATACAACAAATGCATTCTTCCAAGTTATATCGATCTATAATTGGTTCGAGATAATTAAGGTTCATGACAAACCTATGAGGAATCTAATCCCACTCATAACATAGTCTAAATGATGCTGAATATCAGATAAATAACATTTCTTGGGCTGATCCAAGAATTTGCTTTGGTACCAACTATAGGATCAATGCATATAGTCCTTGGGTGCCATTATTAGACCACAGCTTCTTTTGAACGATGTTACTCTGACTCTTTATTTTATTGTCCATCTGATTCGAAGGTTATCCATTTGAACATAATGCCAATGATTCAAAAGTATTCTAAATTTGAGAAACCATTTAAGCACACATGTGTGCCTACAAATATGAACCTGAAACTTAAGAAAACAATATAAAGAAATTTCAGTTTGCTTGTATCAATAATTAATGGCTCACTTAAGAAAGTCAACTATTTAGCCAGTCTCAACCAAATCGAAAATACAAACATGTCCAAGAAATACCTCCTTTCAAGGAGATGATGATACTCTTCGTTCTCAAAAATATTATGCCCTAATGTAGTTGTCAATTGACTACGTTGTCAACAAAATAGTTCACTTTGTCAAGATTGATGACTCAAACTAATGAAATAGAAGTCTAAGACTATTCTAAGCCTTTAAACACATATAAAAGTAACAACTAGTGCAACTAAAAATATAGTGATGCCAAAAACATACCCGATCGAGTCCTGCTGGAAGAGGATCAACTACAACGGTCGGAATCTCATCCATCAAGTTGTCGGGACTTCCAGAGTGTAAAATTCGAGTGAACCCTCCCATCTCCGACCTAGGCATGTCCTTCTGCTTCTTATACCAATAGTACATGATCCGACACTGCCATTTGCTGTACGGAGCATCAGTAGCTGTTAAGGCAACATGGAAAGGCAGTTTGGCATTCTTTGTTTTTTTTACACTTTCGGGCATCTCAATGACTGGATCAAAAAACATTCCACCGTCGGAGTCGTCTACCATCAGTTTGGAAATTGATCTATTGTGCATTACCATTGTTACCAGATTGTAAGTGGCAAATGAGAACCCGAGAACTAATGTAATAATAAGGAGCAGTGAAGGACTTCCCATGTTCTCTCACAATATCATTGGCAGTTGCAGTCAAACTTAAACAAGGACACCAATCTCCAATCCTCCAAATGTCTTAAATTTGAGCTCTATACCCGTAAGTCACAATTGGAGTTCCGCTGTTCTAGTTGACTTACAGGAGAAAGCAAAATCTTGAAAAGCAGCTTCAGAAGAATCAAAGAAAGTTAACTATCTAGAGCAATCCACATGAAATCGAAATCAAGCACGAAGTTTTCATTAATCATAACATCAAGTACTACTTTGATATCAGCTACTCAGATGAAACACTAAAACCAAAACTCACAGGCATATCAAAATTCAAGATAGATTTCAAAGCTATGTTCTTCGGATTCGGACGCAAACAATAGATACAAGTATATATAGGAAACGCGTCGAACGTGAAAACATGCCTAACATAGGTATTTCAAGAAAATTGAAGAGTGGGAGCGTCAAAGTAGAACAGTTTTTCTCCATATAAGAATCAAAGACATGAAAAGAAGAATATGCGAGGGATCCATATTTCTATACGAGTATACGACCAAACAAATTCTTTCTGATTCATCAAAATCAGTCAAAAAAATCAATGCATTTGCCAAAATTAAACATTGTTTCCACAAGGATCAAACTTTCAAGCAAGAAAAAAAAAACTAAAAACATACCCTACAGAATTGAGATCAAACAATCTCCAGGCATACACTAGAAGTCAATAACCAAACATGAAAGTCAAAACAACACAAAAAACAACCCACTTACACAAGAATTAAAAGCTTTTACTAAATACAAGTCAAACAAATAAACAAAAAAAATTAAAAAGGAATTGAATTTGAAGAATTCTGATTAATGAGAGGAGATGGGTATTAATTAAAAATTAAGTAAGAGGTCAGAACTTTGACAGCAAAGCAACGATTTTTAACACACAAACAGGCTAAATAAAAAAAAAACCCATGTTCATGGTTTAATGAAATTTACTTGGCATAAACCATAAGGATTTTTTTTTATAAAAAAAACAAGTTTTCAATTCTACCATATGCTTTTTAGAGAGAGAAACTTACGGTGGTGTGAGAAAGATTGATTGAAATCTTGTAGCTGAAACAGGGGAACCAAAGTTTTCCTTTTAATTGAAGGAGGGGGTTGGTCAATGTCAATGGTGGGGTTTAAGTTGAATTTATGTTTGGTATGTGAGAAAAAAAAGGTTGGAAATCATAAAATGGATCATAATAGAATCAAATATAGAATGGAATCCATGAATGCCAGAGTGAATCCATTGAAGGACAAGGAAAATTGCTTTACAATATTCATTTCCATTTTCTAATGGAAATTTTAGCTTTACAGCAGTTTACTTTTTAGCATCAAAATTAAAGATATAAATACCAATCAAATTAAATCAAATATATTATCTCAGTTATAAAATCATGACCAATCAGAAATAATTTTTATTTTATTTTGGATTTTTTTAATTAAACCAATTGATTAAACAATAACATATTTCCATAAAATAGGATGAACCAAATAATTAAATATTTATATGTCGCCTGATTGTGACTTTTTTTACCAAAAAAAACCCAAAATATTCAGGATAAACTACATAAATAGTCACTAATGTTTGAGTAAATTTTCATCTTCTCTATTGAAGTTTCAAAAATAATAAATTAGTCACTAACACATCGATTTGTAACAAATCGGATCAGATGTAACACGATACACTAATAACCTGAAACCTTTTAACCTGAAACCCTTTTGCCAACGTTTGACTCTCATAACTTTTGACTGACATTTTAAAAAAAATACAGAAAAAAGGGTTATCTTCTTCTCCATTCTTCTTTTCACTTAAAAACCAGGACAACAAATGCTGGAAATAATTTTGAAGCTACTGCACATTATTTTCCCATGTACCCTTCATCGATGTTTCCACCGAGGACCACCAATTTCCCTCTACATACAACGTGTAGCTCACAAAAATCAGGTTTGTTTTGATGAACATAGAATGCTCCCCTTATTGCACTCTTTTCGAATTAATATTTAAAATAACACTTTTTTTCCATTGATAGGATGTATCACGTAAAATGAAAATGCATCTGATGGGGCATTTCTTTATCCTTTGTTGCACGATCAATCAACCAGAGATCGATTTTTTATTGGCTGAAAGGAAAAAAGTATCATTTTAGGAATTAATATGTGCCAATTTGGAAATTATTTTTTAGGGTTTTTTAAAAAATACATTTTGAGTAATCTCATAGAAAATAAATAAAAATAAAATTGAGGTAGCCTCAAATCAATTCAGTTCCAAAATCTTCCTCAGGTATTCTAGCTGCTCCACTTCACCTTCAAGTTCCTCCCACTGAAAACAGAAAGACAACAAATAAATATACCCTGCCATCACCTTCTTTTGCATCAAAGAAATACCCTGTCTAATACAAATTACAAACTATGCTATCCGAATTCGGGATAAGTGTCGGATTCGGATATATGTCGAACACATGTATGTTGCATTCTTTTCTAAGTTTTTCTACATCATTGAAGTCATATCCCCGAACCGATGTTCGAATATGTCGGACATACATGTTTTATACAGACACTTTGAGCAAAATGAAAAGTTGGAATAATATAAATGTTACCTCTTGGTAAGATAATGACACGCACTTCCAACCAGAAGAAGCAATATGATGCCGTTTTAAGACGGTGTGCCCTAATGGTGTTCCTGCAGAGATTCAGAAGATCATTGGATGCATCAAGAATCAAGATCAGGTTAAAGTATACATGTAGTCTGTGTATTATACTCGAAAGTACATGTTATAGAACAATGTAATTTAATCTAAGGGCGTAATCAAGCCGAGCCAAGCTCGAGCTATAAAAGCTAAATCTAAATCTATATAATATGAATTATTGAAGTATCAAATTTTACATAAATATAAAAACGCCTTCAATGCGATAATGACATGGTAGAATACACTAACACAATACGAGTACAGGAACTGTCGAAAATACTACCCAGTATTCCTTGAGAAATGTGTTGGTCCATCAATCTCCAAAGCAACCTTTTGATCAACAAGAACAGCATCAACTGTGTAGCAGTCAACAGGGTACTCTCTAACCCAATCAAGGCCAGTGCTCACAAGAAGACGCCGACTTCTTTTTAAAACAATGAAGTTGTCTTTTGGTTAAACTTCTTAGTTTTAGCAGAACGAATGATTTTCGACTAGAGTTCACTACCAATCGATAGCTGGAGATGAGGGTACTCAAGCTTTAAACATTGGTTCACCAGATGAACCTGTGAAGCAAACATAACATCTACTCTATACTGTTCTGAAACCCGTTGCTCCTCGAAACGGCTCAATGTTTCCCATGTATGAGAAAAGAACGTTCGATCCAGCTCTCCGAAAACCGCATAGGACCAAGCTATATTCCCAAACTGATACCAGCTTAAGGTGAGCACAGGAGGATCAGAAACTCCTCCAAATTCAATATCTCTACTGTTTTCTGCACCGGTTTCTTCATTGGTTTCATTAATTAAGCAGCATTTAAATTGGTTAAATTGGTTGGTGTCGTAACCGATTTTCGTCCGGGCACGAAATTTTACTTGGCGGGAAAAGTAATATGAATAAATTAATGATTTTGATTTTAAAAAATATTTTGGGAGTCGCCATCGGCCTTTTGGGTCAGGTAGGTCGAATACCTAAAAAATCATCTTTTAAAAGAGTTTTTAAGAAAACATCATTTAAAAGATAAACTAGTCTGCGTTTTAACCAAAAATTTGTTCTTTTTAATAATAAAAAGGGATTCGTGGTCGGTTACGCTGAACAAGCTCTTCTCATTATGAACTTCTTCTTCTTCTTCAGATAAGTTCTTCTCATTATGAACTTTCTCTGGAAATGCTGGTCCATCAAGTGATGGATTTGAGCAAAAGGTTGAACAAGCTCTTCTCATTATGAACTTCTTCTTCCTTCTTCAGATGAGTTATTCTCATTATGAACTCTACCTGGTAATGCTGATGACCCGAAGATTTTGCAAACATCAAAAAGCTCCCGAAGGCTTTTTGGAAATATCATGCACTGTATGACTTACAGATGACCCTAAGGCTTTGAAAACTTCAAAAAGCTCCCGAAGGCTTTTTGGAAACATCATGCACTGCAGGACTTACAGATGACCCTAAGGCTTTGAAAACATCAAAAAGCTCCCGAAGGCTTTTTGGAAACATCACGCACTGTAGGACTTACAGATGACCCTAAGGCTTTGAAAACATCAAAAAGCTCCCGAAGGTTTTTTGGAAACATCATGCACTGCAGGACTTACAGATATGGGAAATAGTTTACTAAGTAAGAAACTATGGAAATCGTTTTCTTATTATTCAACAATTTCATTTTCAGAAAAGATTGAATGAGAAACTATGAAAATCGTTTTCTCATTATTTTTCAAAATAATATCTTAATTGGGTAACATGCCCCAATCTCAAGATAATGTTGTTGGAAATAGTTTACTAAGTAAAAAACTAAGAAAATCGTTTTCTTACTTTTCAACAATTTCATTTTCGAAAAGATAAAATGAGAAACTATGGAAATCGTTTTCTCATTATTGTTCAAAATATCATGTTGACTGGGTAATATGACCCAATCTCAAGATAATGCTCATTCTTGTGGATTACGTCCATATATTCTTCAGATGTTTGCGTGATTCCTGTATTTGTGGTTTTGAATTCTACCTTCTTCTTGTAAGGTATTTTCATCATGAATCTTCTTGTTCTTACGAAGATCTGTAAAACTTCATGTTTGAATGCACTCAGATGTATCAATGTAATGCATTATCTATTGTGCAAATGATGTTCTTATGATTGCATGAATGTTGATGCAATCTTCATTTGACTTCAAAGTGGTGAACTTGGTCTTCCTTCACTTCATTATTTATTTCCAAGGTTACCTCTGGAATGTAGCAACTTATGCTATCAAGCTTTCATTTCTGCAGAATCATCTGATCAATTTGTATCTTTGTGTCTTCTTTGCTTTATTAAAGTCTCAGAGGAAATGTTTCATTTATGGAACTCTTGTCGTAGTCCAAACTATGATCTTGATGCACCATTCTATCTTTGATAAAACCAACTTTCTTTGCTTGGACTTGTGTAGAAATCCAATAAAGCTTTCATCTTTGAAAAGAAAATCTATCATCTTTAAAAAGAGAATCTATCATCTTTGAAGAGTGTAGATGTAGATATGTCTGACTCAACGGGGATTAATTAGGAGAGTAGAGTCTGTTCTGATTTGACTCTTGAAACAGATCATAAGGAAGATTTATCCTAATTCCTTTCATGTCTCCACATATAATTAGATCTCGAATAAGGCAACTTGGACCATATCATGTCGAGATGCTTAACAACAACCCGTCATTCAACCTTAGTTGGCTCCACTAGTTTCTTGTTTTCAAAATTTCAGCTCTCCTTCTGTGGAAAGAAAACTTCATCATATCTCACTTCTAATCTTGGGGTTGAAGAAGACAAACTTCATCTTGGATCAATAAATTGAAACCATATGATTGCAACATTGGTTCAACACCATAATCACTAGTTCGTAAAATATTTGACAATACATTCATCTTTTCCTGTGGTTTCTGTCGAGATGTAAAACATTTGAAAACACCTTCTTCCTTTCTTGTGGCTTCTGCCCGGATTTCTGGTCAGGGAGGCTCTTTCGTAGCACTCAGAACTTTCGTATAACGTCACAAGACCACTTGAGAACAAAACTCAATAGGAATACAAATGAGATGCTGGTGTGACCAAAAAGTTGATCAAATTCTCAAGATATGCTAGTGATGAATTGAATAAGAGATACCAATTGATCTTGATATTGTCTCAGGCAAGGGTAAGTGTGATATTGATCACGTTTTCTTCTGTAATGAGCGTTGTAGGAATTAGAAACACATTAGCTATAGGGGCCATGTCCAGAAAGAGGTTCATGGAATTCTTGCCGCTGGGGATGAAACACCCATGATAAAACCAAAATAGATGAAAACTCAGTTCACCCTGGCTAGCAATGATGATCCTAATAACAACGGGAATAACAGTAATATAAGTGAGAGTCGAGTCTCCCTTTTCAATGTCATCAAGTAAGCAAAAACTGATGTGAAAAACAGCTTCATAATCTCAACATTATGGTTGAAACTAACTGCCAGGAATCTCAAAGAAATATTTCCAATCATCACCGACACACAGAATGCAAAATTCAAAGTCTAGATCTTGAGGAACTGAACCCTGGATCGAACGGTTTGCATGGGGACCAAATTTAAAGAAAATGCTGTCATGTGACACATGGTTAAGAAGATTGGGTATTTGAAACCATACTTGCTGAGTAAATATTTGTTCAACAATAGGACCCTAATGCAACTTCCTGATGAACGAAGCAATTATGTATAGATAGCTCGACTGTCACTGTTTTACCCTTTTCATTCTTCATATCTTTCTGTCTGATTGGAAATATATGCTCAAAATCAATGATCTTTAACACATGATGATGTGGGCCTTCAGTATGTCTCAGCATTGCTGATATGAACGTTCAAAAATGCATCAACAATCCTAATTTTGATTGAAATGGGCTTTCAGCATGCCCCGACATTTGCTTCTTGTTAATCTGAGCCTTCAAAATACCCCACATGGATCTGTCTGAAGGAACCTTTAAAATGCCCCAACATTTGCTGATACATATGTTAAAAGTGTGCTCAACATTACTTCTTGTTGAGATGAGCCTCCAAGAATGCCCCAATATTCTATTTCTGGTTGAAATGGGCCCTAAAGATGTCCCTCTAGATCTGTCTGAATTGGGCTTTCGAGATGCCTCAATTTTCTATTTCTGGTTTACTCTCGACATCTGTTTGATTGAAATGTCATGATCCCCACGAGGTCCAATTTTGACAATGAACTGTTGTATGTACTTGTAGCTTTATTCGTGCCCCAAATCTGTTTATCTTGAATACTCTCATTCTGTTGCCACTAAATAGTAGTATCATCAAGTAACTGGAGAAATTCTCTTCATGTTGTCACAAACTTAAGAAGTACTCAATCATTCTGACAGAAACGTCTGAGATATGTGTCTTTTGAATGAGGTGACCATTTTCTGTATCTGGAGGGATCTAGTCAGACAGAGCAGTAAAAATAGCTTGGTAATCCGTTCCAGGCTGACACACTGGCTTATCATCTTTCAGTGAAGGCCATCTCTGAAATATACTTTTCCATAGGAGAGAAACCAATTTATGCAAACAGTAATATGATGCACTGGCAAGACTACATATACAATGGTACATGCTCTTGAAAAATCCACACCCATGCAACATGTTGATTCTGATAACAACTCATCTGATTATGAAGCGATCTTTCAGGATGATTTCATAGATATTGATAGTTCTTTCTGATACCGAGGAAATCCTGAATTCTGATTCTGATGAGGAGAATAAACTGTTATTCTTGACGAAAATAGGGTACTCAGAGGTTGAGGCTTCAATAACTATGGAGAGATGTGGTCTAGATTCATCAATTGCAGAATTGACAGATTTATATGTGTTGATCAAATGGCTAAAGTTGCTGACGCATTTCTTCCAGTAGAAGGTAGGAATTCATTATACAATGACCCCAATTACAAGCAAATGCGAAACTTGGGCTATGATTTGTAGATTCGATGTAGAGTCAGAATTTGTAGATTCGAAGCATTTTCATGCTGCTACACTGAAAAGGCTATATTCATAATCTGCCAATTGAGAACAGATTTCCTCTTATCTTGTTTTTTCCACGCACTATACATGATATTTTTCCATTGACAAAGAAATGATGGCCTTCCTGGGATCCAAGAACAAAGTTGAACTGTTTACAAATATGTACAGGAAGTGCCAAATTGACATAAATGATCTGTAAGGCTCTTGAAGCTTATGACGATAAGCCACCTTTGAGTGTCCAGAAGTATGTTCTTGATGAGTGCTGAAAATGGAATCTGGTATGGGTTGGAAGGAATAAAATGATTCCACTTGAACCTGATGAGGTGGAAATACTTCTAGGTTTCCCTAAAAACCATACACGAGGATCTGTATAGAGACATGTTCCATGGTGGTATCAATGTCCTGTCTTTTTCTGGGATCAGTGATGCAAAGGTCG